TAGCTCCAAGAGGAAATAACCTAGAAAGCTGAAATTTTGCCCAATACTAAGTGGACCCTGAGGGTATGCGCCTGGGTATTACTCATTTTCTGCCTCTTTGTAGGTCAAGCTTGATTTTGCAAAATTTATTTATTTTAGTTAGCTATGAAATGTGAGGTTAGGGTATACTAAGTGGTGGGGTTGTAGTACTTGCCACGTCATTTTTGACGGGCTATATGTAGTAATAGTTAAAAACCATTATGACATCCAATAATAGTTTAAAAAACCACTATAACTTCTCATAACAGTTTAAAATCCACTTTATAACATTCCATAATAATTAAACAACCACTGTCTAACAGCCCATAATAGTAACATAAACTACTATAACATTATAGTTAGAAAACATTCTATAACATTCCCATAATAGTTAAAATATTCTATAACATCCCATAGTAGTTAAAAAAAAATCCAAAATCCCATAATAATTAAAACTACCCTATAACATCCCATAATAGTTTTAAAAATCACTCTATAACATCCCATAATAGTTAAAGAAAAACACTATAACATTCTGCAATAGTTAAAACACTCTCATATTCCATGGCGGACACATTTCTTTTCTATGTGTTTTTTGCATAAAAAGATGCACATGTGCGCACGCACGTAGATAAGAATTAATACCCAGATGCATACTGTGATGGTCCACTTAGTTTGGGTGCAAAATTTCAGGTTTCTAGGTTCTTTGCTCTTGGAGCTATGGTGGTCACATATTCCTTTTCTTTGTGGTTTTTTGCTAGCTTGCCTCACAAAAAGATGTGCTGGCGCACGCACCTGGATAAATAATAATACCTGGATAAGTAATAATAACAGCTATAAAGTTGCTGTTTTATTTAGGAAAGCTTAAAATAAAAAAAGAAGAATTATATTTTATCTAATGGATATGCTTCGTAAAATTTCGCGCTATCCATCCTTCTATTGGTACATGCGCGCGCAGGTGCTTATTAGGGTACATACGCGCTCAGGTGCGTATATTGATACATGCGTGCGCAGGTGCGTATATTAGTATATTAACAATGAATAATTACCGAACTAATGCCCAGATGTATGACAATAAATAATTACCCGGATTGTTGTTACTAGATAATCCGGTTTACGATTAAGTAAAAATACTCAGGTCATCATAGAGCTTGAACTTCAATGATTTATAACTTTTCCAAAAGTCTGAAAGAAGATAAGATTTTTACCCTGTGCGTATAACAAACAGAAGTATAGTTAATTTTACAATATTGTACGGAACATGAACATGCAGGGTGTGTGTATATATATATTCTTTGTTACAAATATTACAGTTGCCAAATCCGAATTACTGCAATCCAACTAATACTGCTAAAGCTTCGGCATCAGTATTAGTATCCTCGCATTATATTATATTAGATTAACGTTATAGATTTAAGATTATCATGCGCTTGTTTTTAGTTTGTAGACTGCACTAGGCATAACTTTAACAAGTCGTTTATTATTTGTGGCATGGCCAGGTAGTTAGCTCGCAATCAGAGAGTCGCGGGTTCGAATCCCCGTCCCACCGTACATGTTCGCTCTTTCAGCCGTGGGGACGTTATAAAGTTACGGTCAATCCCACTTTGCGCGAAATTCAAAATAAACCAAATCAATAACGCTCAGTACTGAAAATTCTGATGGCTTATCAGTACTCAGTTGGGTCTCGGATCTTTGATGCCTGCTTCATGTTTTTGGGATGAACATCAGAATCCTGAAGATTCCGTTGTTCAAGCTTACAATGAAACTTTAAAACAACTATCAAAGTCCAACGAACCCTCCAGACTTAGGTTAGTAAACGGTAGAAAAAGAATGGCGAAATGTGTGTGTGTGTGAGGGGGAGAAGTGGTAAGGAAACAGAACTGTAGTTAAGCTGGGGTGGAACGGAGGAAGTAGGAATAAACGAAAGAGGGAGGAAAGAAAACTGTGAAAAAATTGTTGATACAAATATCTGTGGCCAAGTAATAATAGCATAAAACAATAGTTCATATTTTCACCAAAACTTCCAGATTTATTCTAGGATATTGTTTCACATTTCTGAACTTTTTCGTCTTCTACCTTCACGATTGTTTTTTAGTTGTATAGAAGGCTAAATATTACATCTTTGTTTTTATTAACATGATCGATCACCTAGTTTCAGAAATATATAAATTTGTATATATTGCTCAGCGGCCAAAACAGGGTTGAAAATTTTCTGAACGTTCTTAAAAATTTTAGTTGAATTAAAGAATTTAGTTAGCTAGTTAGTTTGTTGTGTAATTAAGCACAAAGCTACACAATGTATCGTGGCACGTATGTTAAATGGCAAAAAACAACAACAAAGTCCTTGTAATTTTTTTCATTGTCCCTTTTCTTCACTCAGTGTCAGTTTTAAATTTAATGTAGCCATCAGTAAAATTAATTAGCTCCATTCGTTCGAGAACTCTGGAACATTATATATCATTCTAGAAATATATACGGTAGAACTGCATCCCTACCGATCCACCAAATGTATGTAAATCAGCAAGCACACTTAGATAAAATACACTAACTTGTCGCCAGAGGCGCTGCGAATATAATATCTTAAATACGTTGAACAAAAAGTTGACATTGGCAGTAACTGCCAGCGTGACACTTTGGAGAAAATCTTGGAGAAGTAATCTACAAAAGTAGCACGGATGGAAAGGACGACGTTTTCGGACTGAAGACGAAAGTCTCTCGAGAGGTCGTCCTTTCCATCGGTGCTATTTTTGTAGATTAGTTTTTCCAAGATTTTCTCCACAAGTGTGTCACACTGAACTAGATAATTGTTGCCCATTTTTCCTTTGTTTAACATGGAGGATCTGCCTAAATCGTCCACAATATATTATCTTAATTACGTTATTAATCGATGTATCTATGAAATGGACTTTCAAAATCACTTAAAGACTTCTAGATTAAAGTTATTTATGAATGCAGAAAGTTGGTATCATGAATCATTCAATGGTATAAAAAAGTTGGTGTTAAATTGTCTCATTCTGATGCTCTATTCGGGTTCTTCACCTTTTCGCTCTCTTTTTAAACAGACACATCGAATCTCTTAATAAATTATTTACAACAAATTTAATTAAGTTGTCAACTGGGTCATTAGAAAATGAAACTAAAGATATCACGTACTCATTTCTTTAGACTCTTTCTTACAAATTATAGAAAATTAAACAAATGTCGTTGATTCGTTGTCTTCTAGAAGAGCTACAGCCCACAGCCTTTTGTGACATTACTTCTCTGTTGCCCTCACCCAGTGGTTCAACGGTAAGTATGTAGGCTTACGACGTTAAAAATTTGGGTTTCGATACCCGTGGTGGGCATAGCACAGATAGCCCATGGTGTAGTTTGGCGCTTAACAAAAACCAAATATTCTTTCCATCACAGATGCTGAAATATTTGGGTATAGTCGTGAATTTCAACCAAGTCTTTCTTTTTATTTTGGGTTGGCAATACTTTTTCATGGATTCAACAGAACATGATCAAAGTCAACTTTTAAACAGAGCCAAATAGTACAATGTGAACACTCAGAAGAACAGAAGTAACTCAAAGAATCCTATATAGCCTAAAGACATACAGTGGAATAGGCGTCTCTGTTTAGTTTTTTGTTAATCCAGGAACGTGCACAAGGGTTGGGGGAAACGTCCCCCCTTCTAATAACTCCATTCATACAAGCTGGTCATTTTAGTGAGTGTTTATTTCTATTCATATGATGTATATGCGTGTGTTGATATGGTTTAACGTGTGCCCCCCTCCTCCAATAGAGATCAAATTTGATATGGTTTAACGTGTGCCCCCTCCTCCAATAGAGATGTTGATCTTTAAAATGGTTCAAGTATATTGAGAATTGTGTTTTATTTTTCTTATAAAACTGAACCATATAAGTATGTTTTTTATACTGAAATAATATACATTTCTCAAACTACGACACAGTAATAAACGAATACTATGACATCCAAATTCAACCCACAAATTGTAACTTGGAACTTTGTTACTCGTCACTACCTCGACAAGTCAACTACAAGGACTCAATGACTTGTAAGCAGGTGTTTTTTTTTTTACAATAAAGTGGCAACCACAAAGACTCGATGACCTGCAAGCAAGTGTTTTTTACAATAAAGTCGCATAGATCTAACTGATACATGTTATTTATTTTTCCGAAAGGGGGCCGAAGGCCGCCTGAAGGGTCACCTGTTTTAACCACTCGCACCATCATACAGTAGTGTGTTGTCTGTCAGTCAGTCAGTCAGTAGACACTAAAATGATGTCACATAAAGGACACTTAACGATGCAACTTGTGCTGCCGTGACGTCAATAAAACGTCATTCCATGAATCACGAGAAGAATTATGCACTTTGTAGGCTACAACAAGCATGACATGTGAACGTCAAAAGCAAGAAATAAAAATATTTGTTACTCTTAATTTTGATTTCATTTACTCACGAAACAGAACACTGTCGGGGACCCTGCGGAAGTACATCTAGTAATACAGACGGAACTTTAACTTCACTCACTCGTTTTGCATGCAGTGAAAGAATCAGAAGGTAGACGCACTCATAAAATATAAATCAAGTTATTTTAAAATTTACCTTTGATATTAAAAAATCACCAAAAATGTAAGAACGACGCACGCACACCTTCCTAGTTAGATATATAACATTTATTGTATGGTAAACAGATACAGGTTCAAGATGAGATATATATATAATTCATTGTTACAAGAGTATAACATAAATCAACAACATCGTGTATGATCAAACACGAAATAGTGTTACTCAAGAGCTGCCTTTAGTTGGGGAATTTACATTCTCGTTGATTCTTATAACTAAACAACAAGAGAAAAAACAAATATAGATTGTTAATATGCGTAGTAATTCTGGAATGGTTAACAAGACATAATTCTGAAGTAAACGAAATACTGGAATTAAAAAGTTAATACCTTGCCATAGGATATCATATCGTTTTTTTTCCCGCAAATATTTTTTATAAGAAATTAAGTTTTCAAATTATAATGCGGATAGACTAGGTATTTTGTCAAAAAAGTGGAGTTGTTGCCATTACTTTCGCTCATTCTAAATAACTGGGTTCAAAACCTAGTTTGGAGTTTTTTTAATGATATTATGAAAGATTAAACATGTTTTCGTTTGACTATTTTAATGATCTTCAATATTTAATTCTGAAATATATATTATCCAATTAATCCTTTTTACTTATATTTTGAATTGTTTTATCTTGTAAAATTTATGTTATTCAAAACCAATTAACTAATTGAAACTATATATATGTGTGTGTGTTTTACGTTGAACTGAACGCATTTAATACATGCAGGAGACGTTTGTTTGTTTTTTACAAATTTACTGTTAAAATATGTAGGTTTTGTTTAACCTTCAGATTTTGTTTATGGTTTTAATAATGAGAAATTAATACTATACGTTTGTTTAAATCTTAGTTCTAAGCCTTTTTTTTAACAGGAATTATAAATGATCTTATGTTTTTATTTTTCTCGCTATGTAACTTAATTACTTACGTTGGGTTTAATGGATTCATTCATAGAAAAAAAAAGAAAAATCACTAATCCCATAGTCTCTGTACTTCTTATTATCCTTGCTCGTAATTAGTTAACAGGGAATTGGAAGGGAAATTTTCGTTTCGTTTTCCCTAAATTTAAATTAGTTGAGATTTCTTTAGAATAATCCCTTCTTTGATTTTCTTCTTATTTCTTTTCATATAAATCTCGTGCTCTTGTTGCGCTGGTATACCTAATAGAATGACATAAAATAGTAGTAAAAATGTTTAATAAACTTCAATCTTACAAAGTACAAACAAAAACACTTCCTACTAAATAAGAGTGAAACACCTTAAAAGTTGAAAAATGTATAATGTATGTACAGGGGAGGCAAAAGTAACTATACAGTTGCACACTTTTATTAATACAAAGAAAACTGAAACATAATAACATAAAATAAGCATGGATATTTAAATCTGAAAAAAAACAACAACTAATAACAATTAAGAAAAGACAACAAATATCGAAATCTTTTTACAACAATTTAGTTATGTACAACTATAATGGCTTTTGCCTCACCCTGTACATATTCTATACAGGAGTGAAGCATCTATGGACTTGTGAAAATGCATCAAGTAAGACTCTAAAGGCGAGAAAAAATACAGTGTAAAGAATTAACAAGTCTATCCAAGTGAAAGCCGAAAATTGGTCTTATAATGATAAATTTAAGTACCATTTTATTACAGTCTTACGAGAATATTTGGCTAGGATTGGTAACATTTACATACCTATAAAAAATTTATACTAACAATGTCTGTAAAAATGTAAGAAAATCTACCACTAAGGACAAGTGTAACTTTACTCACATTCCATAGGCGCCTAAGCCGGGTGGGGGTGGGAGGCAGAAGGGGCACATGCTACCCCATTTTGAATATTTGTTATCAAAACCCTTTTTCGCTCTCATGTTCTTCCGCTAACTGTTGTGTTTGTAACGATTAACCTAAGTCCGTTTGAATGTTTTGAATAACTCGCGAGCTGTCTCGCGCATTTTTCAGTCGGTTCAGAAATATGAAGATACAATTCAGTTATTGGGGTTCATGGAGTTAATTTCAGTCTTGTTTCAGTCACGTAAAAGTAACGCGTTTTAGAATGTTTGCGCAAAGCTACACAAGGGCTATTTGTGTATAGCTAGTCAACAGCACCCAACATGAGCCCTTGTCTGATCGGATAGTGGGATTTGACTGTCATTCTTATAGCGCGCTCATGGACTCAGAGTGTGGAACGCTATTTTTGAAGCAACGGGACACAAGTCGGATTAACAGTATGGACACATTAACCAGTAGGCCACGCTCAGGTGCGTACGCAGAATGTTTGAATGTGGGTTTCTAATTTGTGAGATCAGAGCCAACACATATTGTGCGAAGCACGATCAGCAAGCAAAACATGCTAATATTAGGGGGGGGCACTCATAAAATTTTGAAAAAATAGGTGCTATGAGATTAAATCTGGAAGTGAGTTTGCATGAAATACAAACAATTGCGTGGCTGTTCAAATAAAATGGCTGTTAAATATACACGACTGTTTCGGTGCGCCGTTCAGCATCGGTCTTTAGGTCGTCGGGCGACCTGGGAGGGTCAGGTTCTCATTTGACCTCTTCCTCCCTGTTTCGGTGCGAGCGTTATGATTTGAAGAGTTTATATAGCGCGGGTGTCATATTTAGTTATTTATAGAAGAAAGAGTTTATGGCAAGTTTGTTTAGGTAATTGTTTGCGAATCATACGTTGTGTAGCGTGTACGTTCAATTGTTATAAGTTAGCGCTTGTTATATTATTGCGTTATGTTACTAGAACTTTTGAATTTTTCTCGTTGTTTTAATCGAATATTATTGCATCAGATTATGTAGTATTTCGTGGAATGTTCTAGGCTTCTGTCAGGGTATAAATAGGCGTCGAAAGATTATTATTTGGATCTAGACTGCATGACTGTGAGTTTAGCGATAAAGTTCGTATAGTGGCGATTTTTAAAGTGAAATTATCACAGACTGCACTGTGATAACAGAGCAGAGAAGAATAATTTATCTTGTCAATTGTGTTCTAAAGTAATTGAACCAGCCTGTATGGACTTTGACGAAAAAGAGGCAAAGCTCCAGATACAACTGTGATAACAAACAGTGTAACGAACGTTTGTATATACGTTTGACTTGTTTTAATATATTATTTTCAAACAAGTGGACTATTTTGCTTTTTTTATTGTTTAAATTCATCACCAACAAGTCACAGACACCTAGTGTAAAGAATCCGGCCTACAAATTATGACAGTAGCAATACAGCTTGGGACTTCCAATGACAAAGTGTTAACAGAAGCGACTATTTAGATCCAAAAAATGCTAATGCTTCATCAGAATAATGTAGACTATGTAAAAACGTTAAACACCATACGTAGCTACGCTATAACTATATAAACATTATTTTTTACATTATAAAAATAGGGGGTTCTGTTGAATCCTCCTCCCACCGCGTACATGCGTGACGCTCTGCCAATTTTGTTTGTTGTTAATAGCAAACCTAAATAATGGGCTATCTGTGGATCGAGCCCTGAATTTTAGCATTATAATCCGTCAGACTTACCACTGAGCCACTTGGTTCATGTATGTAAACAACAGTAGATAAATCTAGCAAGTGACGTTGGAGAGAAAAATTTATAGCTTATGAATAGTTCAATGCATGTATTGTATTCAAGTACTGATAGAAATTTTTAAATATAGTGAAATAGAAAAATAAGTTAATGTCAGAATTAAAATATATAATGTTTCGCCAATTGTTAAAATAAAAGGCTTTTAGTTATATTTCTTAATAGTATAAATATATACTATGTAGCTGTTGGGCGTAGGATTCTTCTACAGTAGGTGTCTGTGACTTGTTAGCGATAAATTCAACGATGATTAAACAGCACACACTTTACTTGTTTTCAAATAATATATATATATATATATATATATATATATGTTCGGAAGAAGTTAAACGTATGTACAACAAAGTCTTCACACTATAGAGATTACAAGCATATCATAGCCACTATATAATTCTCTTCTTCTTGTCAAAAGTCCACTTAGGTCTATTCAATTACTTTAGAACTTTGCACTAGTATTCTGTGTGTGATTCACTTACAATTGTGGTGCGAGTTACCGTAATCATTTGGTCTTTTTTTCAAAATATCCTCTGTTCTTTTTGTCAAAGTGCACTCAAGTTGATTCAATTACTTTAGAACCACGCTTTGAAGGAGTAAATTCTTCTTCTTATCTCCTTTCCTACTATTAATCTTACTCTAAATTATTAAACGTTAGGCCTATCACTTCTACAGTAGTTAACTGCTCGCCGAACTTTTCTTGGCCCGTAAATTTATTCTCTTCTGCTATTGCCTGTTTGCTCTTTTCCGCTCGTCTCACACTATTTATATGTTTATCATTTAATCTTCTGCCCGCCTTTTAGAAATCTCTATATTCTCGACGTCAGTGTTTTGCACGCGACGTTCGACAGTCTCAACATCAATGACTTATAAACACAACTTTCTACAATCGTCTGCTTTTAACTCTCATTATAACAAAAACTAAACAATAATAAAATATCCACCCACAAAATAAATTAATCAATAATATCTAAACTAAACAGTCTTTTATATCATGGCAGTTAATAAATAAAAGTTATATATACAATTACAAATAAGTTAAACTTATATAACTGTATAGTAAATTATTTGAAGGACTTGTCTTTCTTGAATATGATATTGGTGTCTCTATTGTTCGTTTATAACAATTACTAAATGTATTCTTATTAATGTCATATTATGATATGTTACTCTCGTACAGGAGACTGGTAGTTAGAGCACTCGAGTCACGGGTTCGAATTCCAATACCGAACATGCTCACCCTTTCAGCCGTGGGAGTGTTGTAAAGCGATGTTCAATCCCACTATTCGTTAGCAAAGCGTAACTCAATAGTTGATGGCGAGTTGTGTTGACAAGCTGCATTCCCTCTAGTTTATAATTTCGAAATTAGGGATGGCTAGCATGGATAGCCCTCGAGTAGTTTTGCGCGAAATTCAACAAACAAACAAGCTTTCCTTTTGATTGGCGGATTACTGATCTCATATAAAACTTTTTATATTTTTTATGAATTTTAGAATTGTATGGTTATCTTTGCTTTTTACCTCAAATTCACGATACCCAACAACTCGAGCGCTTTCGAAAGGTGGACCTTTCTTCTTCAGGAGAAAAATGAAGAAGAAAGGAAAATCTTTCGAAAGTGCTCGGGTTGTAGGGTTTCGTATTTTTGTGTTAAATTTATTTCTTGTTTTCCTAACAACATGAATTTACTTTTTTTAAATTTCATAAATATTAAAAATATAAATATAAAAAATTAAAAAAAAATCTATTAACAGCTACCGATAAACTAGCTTGCAATAAGCTTATTGCCCTTCGGACTTACAACGCTAAAATCCCGTGGCGGACAGAGTGCAGATAGTTCATAGTAAATACATATCTTGACCTGATCGGAAGTTAATTTTAATTACAAACAACAACAACAAGCTTCTACCTTGCCAAGTGACAGAAAGAACAACGGCTTTATAGCAGTAAGATACCTTCAAATGTGTAGCTTTGTGATTAAGCTAAATTCACGTATGTTTAACGTACGGAATGAGCTTCGATGTAGTTCTTTTAACGTTTTCTCAGCTTGTGGCGTCACCTTGTGGCAAAAGTTGATATTACAAATATTTAATATTTCTTTTCTATTCTTTTAATAGCCCCTAGTGGGTCAGCAGTAAGTCTGGGTTTCGATACCCGTGGTGGGCAGAGCAGAGATAGACCATTGTGTAACATCGCGCTGAACAACAAACAAACAAAATTATTTTAATAATAAATATTTTGCAACAGCTTGTAAACACAGGAATAACAAATAACTAATATTCCACATTACGAGTCACAGCTGTTTGAGGCATAATGTTTGAGTTAAAGGCCTATAAACTACTGCATTCAGATAATTCTAGTCTCCATAAATATAAAAAATTATGAACGTAAGTTAGCTTGTAAGTACAATTTTCATAGGGTGTTTCACAATCGAAAAACTGGTCTTTCTACTTAATAAAAAAGCCGAAATATATATATACCCTAATTTATATCAATAGGTACCACTTTAGCGTATATAAGTTAACATAGGTTGTTATTACAAAAAATAAATAAAAAAAGACATTAGTTTCCTATAAAGTTTCACTTTCCGATACTTTTTTTAAAGCACTGACGACGAACCGAAAACAAAAGTATTATATTCACTCAAAGTTTCGTTTTACAGATTTTG